AGCAACCCCCATCATTGAGAGAGCGCACAGGATCGGGCAATATGACCCCAGAGTGAAAATACCAAGGGTGGTGATCATGAAATTTCTGAACTACCGGGATCGAGAAAGCACCATGGACGCGGCCAGGATGAAGAAGGAGAGTCGCTGTGGGGTCCATCGACTCAGCCTGTTTCCTGACCTGTCGCCAGAGACGCGGAGCCGGCAGCGACGATTCGACCCTGTGAAAGCCCAGCTGCGCGCATTGAATGTCCGCTACGGGATGCTATACCCAGCCCAGTTGATCATCACTCATAACGATAGGCGCATCATCTTCAAATCAGAAGAAGAGACTGAGGACTACATAAAATAAAAAAAACGACAACCAGCGACAGACAACGGGGCTGACTGAGTTCGGGAACTGCCTGGTCTTATTATCCCTGTCTCTCCCCCTCTGAGAGGGGAGCGGATCACACAGTGAGGCAAGAACCGAACTATATATTATTGGTCATGGTGGTTCTAAAAGCAAGTAAGGTTTTTTTTTTTTTAATTTCTATAAGAGTTTTACGTTATGTATCCTATTTTGTTATCTCTTACTTATATCCCGTTGAATTATATACCGAATGGTTAAGTCTTTTATTACTATCATAATTATTGTTGCGCTGATCAGAGATCTCCTGTTGGGGGCGATATGGACCTCTGGTTTTCTTTCCTCCTACTGGCTGATGCTGACTCTTGGGAGAGTCTACTGTAGAGACGAGCACACCGGAGCCGATATGAACGAGCAGTTGTACATTACCCCCACTGGGGATGGAACGTCTTACTTAACCCAAGGTCTTAGGTTTAGAGGGTTTGAAGCCACGTTTTGTTTGGGGAAACATGTGTGTGTGTGTGGGGGTGGGGGGTGGGGGGGGGGTGGGGGGGGGCTTTAGAAACTTCACTCAATATGATTTAAATCAAGAGTTTTTACTCAATATGAAAGCGAAAGTCAAAAAGGTGCAGCCACGATCCTTTGGCACTATCATACTAAAACATGTTAATCATGATGGGTAGATCTGCTATAAAAGTCCTTACGTGGAATGTGCGTGGTTTAAATAACATGGTTAAACTTAAGCAAGTATTAGGCAGAATAAAACAGATAGGGGCCACAGTATGTTTTTTACAAGAAACATACCTGTTGGAGAAAGATATCAACCGAGTAAGAACCAGATGGCCTGGACAAGTATTCTCCTCTGGATTCTCCTCTCACTCTAGAGGGGTCCTAATTCTGGTCCATAAGTCAATTCCGTTTCAGTTAAGAGATAAGTATTTAGATCCCTCTGGGAGATTTATTATACTGAATGGCACTCTGGTTTCAACTCTAGTAAATCTGATTTGCTTATATGCCCCTAATGGAGATGATCCTACTTTTTACCAGCATTTCTTTTTAGCTATTTCCTCCTATACTGGCCATTGCATAATAGGAGGTGATTTCAACTGTGTGATTAACCCTGTGGTTGATAGATCAAACACCCATGTTACTCCCTCTCACCAACAAACTAGAATAATGATTGGAAAATTTATGAAGGACCTCAACTTGATGGAGGTGTGGAGACTATTACACCCTAATAAAACTGAGTTCTCGTGTTGCTCTAGCACCCATAAAACATATTCACGCATTGATTTCTTCCTGATCTCAACAAATCTAATGTCTCTGATACAAAAATGCTGGTATGAAGCTATTTTACTTTCCGATCATGCCCCAGTCATTTTATCTCTTCTACTGCCGAACCTTTTACTCCAGCCACTCCCATTTTGATTCCAAGCAAAATGGTTGAGATATACAGAGTTTGTAAAATTCATAGATGGGAAGATGGCCCCTTTTTCATTTTGGCTTGTAGTATTTTTTTCTGTTTTTATTTTAATGTCAATAAATGAAAAATGAAATAAAGGGAAAAATGATTATTTCACTTTTAATACGAACCAAACAAATGCATCAATAAAATGGGAAGCCTTTAAGGCCTATATAAAGGGAGAAATGATAAGCTATACTAGGAGCAAATCCAAAATCCATTTGAACAAACTAAAGGAACTTGAAGAACAAATTAAAGAATTACAAGACCACTTATATCACCACAATGATATTGGAAAATACAAAAAAAAACTCCTTCTGTTAAAGTGTGAATATAATGAACTCAGCACAAATAAGATAGCTACAAATCTAATGTGGTTGAAGCAGTCCTATTATGATCAAGGGGAGAAGGCAGGGAAGCTCTTGGCTTGGAGGCTAAAAAAAATACAATCAGAAAGAGCCATAAACTCAATTATATTGGATGATGGAATAGAGATCATGGATCCGGAAAATATAAATAACACTTTTGCCAACTATTATGAAAATTTATATAAATCGGAATACCCTGAAAATGAAAATGAAAATGCACAAAACCAGTTTTTAGACCGATTGAAATTTTCGACCCTTCCCGAAGAAGCCAAAAAGGCCCTTAATGCTAAGCTGAGCATAAAGGAACTCAGAGAAGCACTGGGTCTTATGAACAGCGGCAAAGCCCCAGGTCCGGACAGACTCCCAATTGAAATATATTAAAAACAAATCTGACAAATTATTGCCACACCTGCTTGAAATGTTTAACGAGTCCTCTGAAAGAGGCATTTTGCCACCATCTCTGAGAGAGGCATCTATTTCAGTCATTTTAAAACCTGGTAAGGCCCCAACAGACATGAGCGCATACCGCCCCATATCACTAATGTCCTGTGATACTAAAATATTGTGTAAGGCCCTAGCTTGTAGGATTAATTCATATATTCCAAAATTAATTTCTGATGATCAAAATGGATTTGTTATGGGCCGCCAGGCCTTTTATAATACTCGTCGGCTTCTGAATATACTGTGGGATAAGCAATTTGCTACTGACCATACCTTTTTATCATTAGACGCTGAAAAGGCGTTTGATAGAATAGAGTGGAGATACCTTTTTGAAACCCTTAAGAGATTCGATTTGGGAGGAGAATTTCTGAAATGGGTCCAATTGTTATATACGGAACCGATAGCCAAAATCGTTACAAACAATCAGATATCAAGGCCTATACAACTTGGTAGGTCTACTCGACAGGGCTGCCCACTCAGTCCGTTATTGTTTCTTTTGGCCATTGAACCACTTGCTATGGCGATACGCAATTCCTCTGAATTAACTGGAATAAGAATAGGTCAGGCCGAACATCGGGTATCATTATTTGCAGATGACATCATTCTGTTTTTAACTAACTTAGAGAAGTCGGTTCCGGCAGTGGGCGATATTCTTCAGAATTTTGGGTACTTCTCTGGGTACAAGATTAATCAGAAGAAAAGCTCCCTGTTATTTCTAAATAAAAACAATCCTCATATCCAGACACAATTCACCAGTACCTGTGAAGGCTTTACCTACTTGGGAATACAGATTGTCCCTGACATAAAGAAAATTGTTCCCATTAATTATGACCCCTTGATACAAAAAGTTTCAGAGCTATTGGTGAGGTGGGATGGGATGTGGATTTCTATGATAGGTCGCATTAATACGTTCAAAATGTCAATTCTACCAAGATTTCTCTACTTATTTCAGTCCATCCCCCTATATACCCCAGACTCTGTGTTTTCATCACTGAATAAACTTTTCTCCAGATTCATTTGGAACAACAAACGACCCAGGCTACGCCTCTCCCTGCTATACTTACCTTATGAGCGTGGAGGGCTTGGAGTGCCCAATATGAAGATGTACTATTGGGCAGCCCAGTTAGGTGCAGCTACTTGCTATTTTCCAACTAGAGAAACTCCTTCCTGGGTTAAAATTGAGAATAACAATATAGGACTGCCATTACAATCTTATGTTTACTCAGATACAGCTAAAAGAATACTGAAAAATACAAAAAACCCTATGGTAAGAAATACGATTTCAATCTGGCACCAAGCACATATAGCTTTTAATGAGGAGTCGCAACTGTAAGCTTTGTCGCTGATTTGGGGTAATGTTAGGTTTAAACCTGCACGTGCTGATAGAGGCTTTAAAATCTGGGAAAACAAGGGCATAGGCCAAATAAAAGATCTGTACGAGGATGGAATTCTAATGTCCTTTGAACAATTAGCAAATAAATATGATCTGCCTAGGAGACATTTTTTTTTCCAAATTAGAAGTTTCGTTACTAATATACTGGGATCGACTGTACAACCCACATTATCTACTATAGAGAATTTAGCAGCCAACTATGACCAACGTAGGGGCCTTCTCTCCAAAATTTACAGTACTCTAATCTCTGCTATGAACGAAAATAGCAACTCATATTTACAGGCCTGGATATCTGATCTGGAAACAGACATTTCAGCAGAAGAGTGGAACGACTGTTGTGAACGTGCGCAAAAACAAACACAAGATTTAGATTACAATACAAGTGGCTGTTTAGAACCTATATCATACCAGTGAAGCTCAACTTTTTCCACCCTAATATCCCTGACTATCGTAATAAATGTGGAAAAGGGACACTTTACCATTGTATGTGGCAATGTGAAGAACTTCAAATCTTTTGGAAGCAAATCTGTACAATTATTTCAGATTTAATTAAATGCAAGACGCCCTTTGACTGTAAACATTGTATACTGCACATCTATCCAGACAGCTTTGTATGTAACAAAAAGAAATTGAATTCTCCTTGTTACAAGCTAAATACGCTATTGCCTTGAAATGGAAGGGCACAGAAAGGCCAGGAGTGAAACAATGGATCAATTCTATGTCCAGTAATCTGGCGCTTGAGAAACCAACGTATATGGCCAGAGGAAAACTCGAGGACTTCAAGGACATCTGGATGCCGTTTTTGCATCTTCTAGATGCCTTTGACTTTGAAGCGGAGTGAAGTGGGAGGTGGGAGGGAGGGGATTTTTGGGGTGGGTAGGTGTTGGGGGGGGGGGGAATGGGGTTGATGTATCTTGTTCTGTTTTAATCTGAAAATCATAACATATTTGGAAAAAAAAATTGACCAGTCATAATGAATGGAGACATAAATGCAGCTGACATGTTTATTCAGGTAATCAGAACAGGAAGCAGAATCAGGCCCACAATAAAGAATCTGCTCTTTAGAACATCCAACACAACATCTTCAGACAGCTGAGAGGGTCAGTGATGTTAGAAATGTGGAGTGGATCAACAGATGGAACATAAAACCTGTCAGTTATTTTCACTTCTACACCTCTTTAGCTCTTGCTCTCCAGGGTGTGCTTGTCAAACAGGTACTCTGCCATTTTGCTGGTGTTGGCATCCATTTTGGTCAGGTTGGTGATGTGATCACCAAGCTTCTTGATGGCCTCCACCTGCTCGTTCAGGTAGTGGCTTTCCAGGAAGTCACACAGCTGGAGAGAAAATGTAATTAACTTTAGAAAGTTGTGTCAAAAAGTCACGTTCTAGGTTTAACACTGGAAGTAAAACTTACATGAGGGTCTTGGCGATCAGAAGCCATCTTGTGCAGATCCAGTAGAGCCTGGTTGACGTTCTTCTCCAGCTGCAAAGCACACTGCATAGCCTCCAGGCCACTTCCCCACTCATTACGCTCTGGTTTCTGCAAGAACCAATGCATTCAGAAATGTTGTTCCCCAAGTCCACATGAAGCAGCAGGAGGTTAACCACCTTCCATCAGTAAGTAGTAAAGAGTAGACTGGATGTGTTTGGGTTCACCTTTACATCCTGGAGGACGATGCGTCCTCCCCTCTTGTTCTGAAAGGACAGCAGCTTCTCAGCATGTTCCCTCTCCTCGTCGCTGTTCTCCTTGAAAAAATGAGCAAAACCTGCAAGGGCCACATCGTCACGGGAGAAGTAGAAGGCCTGTTGGGGGAGGGGAGAGCAGAGAAAAGCTCTTATTAGGACACTTTACCATGGCTATCAGGATCACACTACAAAGTGATCATTGAGCAGTCATTCTGATAGCAAAGTCCTCTGCTGACACCCAGAGGAACATTGCAGCAGCTGCACACATGAAAGCTGATTGCAGATTCAGTCTGCAAGACAAAGATCATTCTGTAACCTTGTTACTTTCACTTGGTCAGCAGGTGTTGAGCATAAAACTATAGTTTACTGAGCTAAAGTGTTGCACTTCTGGACACTGATGTAGATTCTTTATTTCCAATGAGACAAATGTTCCTGGAATGTTTTCAAATGGTCTTGATCAATATTTCTCGAGGCTTTGTGAAGGTCCATCAAAGGTTTTCCTTGGACGTGGGCTGCTTCCTCTCTAAATGTGTAAATGTATGTAAGTTAGTAGCAATAGTGTGAGACGAAACATGTCAGAATCGTAATAAAGGACATTACATTACATCAGTGTCTGATGCAACGGCAGGAGTTTGTTCCTGTTATCTGGAAATGTTCTAGAGCAGGAAGTGGTCCTTATCCAGGAGTTATTTACTACGTGTTAGTCACATGAACAGGTTGTCAACATGATCTAACCAAAGTCTGATTTGTGAGAGAGTACAAGAGCAAAAACAGCTCCAGTAAGCCGTAATGATGAATAGATGTAGTTTCTTACCATGGAGGTGTAGGTGTAAGAGGCAAACAGCTCCAGGTTGACCATCTTGTTGATGGCGGCCTCGCAGTCACGGTGGTAGTTCTGACGCACCTGACACTCCATTTTAGCTGGTGGTTTTTAGGCTCTCTCTTTAGAAACAAGGTACAGAATAAAGCTGAGTGTCTGCTTTAGTAGCAGGTCGGCTGAAAACACGAGACAACAAAGTTCCGTTCAAACACTGTTGAAGCAAGAACTCCTTGAGGCTTTGTTCCCCGTGTGAGATGGTAGCCAAGGGTTCCTGTATTTATACACCACTGCAGGTCCCCCAACAGGTGTGATTCCACTCTGTATGTTTCAGCCAATCAGCAAGAGAGGATCTGATTAGGGAGTAAAAGCTGCAACATAAGCTGATGAAGTTGTTAAATTTACATGACCCTCCTCATCCCAGTTCTTGGAAATTAGTGTAGAAACTTTTCAGGACTGCAATCGGACCTGCTGACAGTCAGGATGACATCATATTTATAGCCTTTACAAAGGGATCAACTCAAATGTATTTCATTCTAATTCATTTCTAGTTGTAAACTGGTCTCAGATGACACGTGCTGGTCCTTCAACACCACAGAAGTCATGCTGAACTAGAGCAGTTTCTGTTCCAGAGAGCCAATCCTACAGCTGAGACACCAAACACCTTCTAAAGGCCTCGTCACTCAACCCCATGGTAAGCTGCTGCAGCTGCAGAATGCTGAGTCATAACAACGACACAGCACAGTTGATGTTTCCATACAACAACTAAACCATGTGACATGACTCAGCACAAACTAAACATCGATGTGCTTTCTAAAGTGATGAGTCATTGTGTGAATCTTGAGTGTGACTGAGCATTTTCAAGGTTTGATGATTATAGCAACATTTTAGCTTTGATGCCACAAACTAACATCAGAAACCCAGAAAGTCATTGGTTGGACCAAGGAAACTTCTTATTTGATACAAAGTGAAGATTCAAAAGGACTCTCTTTATTTTAATGGCATATTCCTTCAATTTCATCAGTTTCATCAATTTCCAAATAAATAACATACACATTCTTTTTCTGTTATCCTTACAAACTCGCTATAAAAATTCACCAGTAAATCAGTTAAATTCAAGTCCTGGTTCAGGTCTGGAGGTTCTGAGGTCTGAAATGTCTGAAGTCAATAATCCTCTCATTGGTTAGGTTTTCTGAACTTGTCTGCTTTTCTCATGGAAAGAGGACTATGACCAATCCCAAAGGCTTGTACTGAAGATGGATTATTATTATGGTGATCTAAGTGTCTGACCAAAGGACAATTACCATCACCTGTACAGATTACAGCATATTTCTATCTTCTGGTTCTGCTGGTATAGAAACATTTAGTAATGGACTTTCTAGCCTGTAGACCCTGGCCCTTCCTGTTTGTAGACAAACAGGAATAATATTGAAAACATACAAGTAACTCAGATCATCCAGATGGTGTCAAATTTGCATCATTCGGGCTTTGATGTGAAATATTTGGCTGTAGAAGAAATTCTCGGGTAGCTGGTGTTTCACTCCAGCAGTCATGGGGCAATAAATGGTGGACATGCTGGACAGGTCCAGTCCTTCACAGGGCCAGACAGAGAAAGAACCAAACTCACACACAGCAGAGAAGAACGTTTCTGATATGTGAGAGGAAACCCCTTCATGCATGTGGAGAACATGCTACTGCAGTTAGTTGAATGGAGTTACGATTTGTTTTGTGGAACATAAACTGGTTTTGTTTAGCATCAGCAACATATTTCACAAAAGGTCAGCTAGAGTAGAAGTGTAGAAGGGGTAAATATGTTGCTTTTAAGCTTAATATATTACCTTTACTTATGACCAATAAGATGTGATATTCTATATAAATATAAGATATCAACCTTATTGGTCTTTGAATGTTTAATCAGAAGATTCTCGGGTTCTTTACTTTTTCAGGGATCAAACACACTTCGTATTAATTCAGACAGAGTCAGGTTTATAAAAAGTAAGAAATTTATTTTCTAAACAATTAAAAACAAGACAAGTTAGAAATAAGATGAATGTGATGGATGAATATAAGTGGATGAAAGGAGATGTATGTTGATTGAATGGTGTGTGTTTATCAGAACCTTGTATCTAGAAGAAACTGAGTTCTGGGTGTGAAAAGAATTTATTCTGCATTAAACTAACAAAGTTGGTTCTTATCAAAACCACATCAGACGTAATAATGCTTTGTCTACCTCACCCTTTTGGAGACCCTCTTCATGGATCCGGATGTCAGGAAGGTCGGATGACCTCTGGGCACCGAGGTTCAGTAGATTAACCGCAGCACCGATGCTCCGTTCCAGAGATGTCACCAGGCACAACAGGCTGGAACTAGTTTGCGTCTAGAAGGACTCCTATGGAGTCGGAACTGTATCAGCTTTGTTCTGCAGGAACCGTTTGCTGTGTCAGCTTCAGCGTGCAACGGGTTTTGACAGCTTGTCAAGAGATGCGGTGGTTAGAGAGTTTCGTCCGGTGGCCAGTGTTGGGTAAAAACAGTATTGGATATAAACGGTATGGAAATTATTTTGTCTGGGTACCATCTGGTTGTCTAAGGAGCTTTGAAAGAAAAGCGTCTGGACTTCTTTGAGTTGCTTGAAGACGTTTCACCTCTCATCCGAGAGGCTTCTTCAGTTCTAAGGTCAAATGGTGGAGAGTCCCAGATTCAAACCCAGTGGGAGTTTCCCCCCTAAGAGGGAACAAAAGACCCCCTGATGATCTTCTACATAAGCACATGAGCCAAGGTGTGGGGGTGGGTGTGGGTCCTATTCAGCCAGAGTTTCGGGTGAGCTCATAGTGAAGCCTGGCCCCACCCTATCATGTGAATTCCTGAGGTCAGATGGCCCAGGCTATGCATGGGCGTTGAGGCATCTGGGAAGGGATCTCAAAACTGGATTATAGATAGCAGACAGCTGGTGTCGCAAACCACCGCCTCTGTTCAAAGATGGTTGCTCACAGTGGACATAAATGGCTTCCTTTACTCCTCTTTCAAACCATCTGTCCTCTCTGTCCAAAATGTGAACGTTAGCATCCTCGAAAGAGTGACCTTTGTCCTTTAGATGCAAATGAACTGCTGAGTCCTGTCCCGTGGAGGTGGCTCTTCTATGTTGTGCCATGCACTTGTGAAGTGGCTGTTTGGTTTCTCCGATGCAGAGGTCTGGGCATTCCTCGCTGCACTGTACAGCATACACCACATTGTTCAGTTTGTGTTTAGAAGTTTTGTCTTTCGGGTGAACCAGTTTCTGTCTGAGTGCGTTGCTGGGTCTGAAGTACACTGGTATGTTGTGTTTGGAGAAAACCCTCCTGAGTTTCTCTGATACACCGGCTACATAGGGGATGACAAGGTTGTTGCGTTTGTCTTTCTTATCCTCCCTCGCTGGTGTCTGGTCTTCTTTTCTGTGCATCTTTGCTGACTTCATAAACGCCCAATTAGGATAGCCACATGTTTTAAGTGATTCCTTTAAATATGTGTGTTCCTTCTTTTTCCCTTCCGGCTTAGAGGGAACATGTTCTGCCCGGTGGTGTAAGGTCGTGATTACTCCAAGTTTGTGTTCCAGAGGGTGATGTGAGTCGAAGAGGAGGTACTGGTGTAAAACAAATAATAGTTTTTTTGGTTCTGAAAAAGGTTGTTCTAAAGGTTGTTGAAAGGCCTGGTTTAATCTCCCAAGAGGTGTTAATTTTAGCAAGTGAGGCAGGAACTGAATTACAAAGGAAGTGACTCTTCTTGTGACTTGCAGGCACACATGAACAGGAGAAGAAAAGCAGCCTTGTTATGAAAGATCCCCAGAAGTCATTAACGGGAGGTTTTTGGTTTGGAAAGCACAGCTTCTCAGGCAAAGTGGAGACAGCAGGACTGTGTACTGCCTGATGACCTCTGACATTACACTGCCTTTCCTACGCTACACATGCATAGGGAGAATATGCTGACTCCAAACAGTGGGTTACATGATGGTGTGGTGGTTTTCACTGTCATCTTGCAGCAACAGTGTTCTGCACCTTTCTGCATTAAGTTGGACTCTCTTTGGTCACGTCTGCTGAAACCCGACTCTCACCCAAACTCCCTCAGACCCTGAGCAGGATCAAGCAGGTATAGACAAACATCATGCTGGTTGTAAACTATGTGTCAGCAAGTTTTAGCAGTGCTGTCCAGAACCACATCAGGTTCTATGGTTCTCAACTGGTCCAGAATCAGGATCTTTTATTTTGTAGAGACACCAGCTCCATAAGAGCTCTAGTTTGGACCTGCAAGAAGAACCCACTCAGGCTGATTAGTAGAAAGACACGTGCCATTATTGTTGCTGCACACACGCACAGTGAGACTGAAACAAAAACACCTTTTCCATCTTAATGACTTCTGTGGTGTTGAAGGACCAGCACGTGTCATCTGAGACCAGTTTACAACTAGAAATGAATTAGAATGAAATACATTTGAGTTGATCCCTTTGTAAAGGCTATAAATATGATGTCATCCTGACTGTCAGCAGGTCCGATTGCAGTCCTGAAAAGTTTCTACACTAATTTCCAAGAACTGGGATGAGGAGGGTCATGTAAATTTAACAACATCATCAGCTTATGTTGCAGCTTTTACTCCCTAATCAGATCCTCGCTTGCTGATTGGCTGAAGCATACAGAGTGACATCACACGTGCTGGGGCACCTGCAGTGGTGTATAAATACAGGAACCCTTGGCTACCATCTCACACGGGGAACAAAGCCTCAAGGAGTTCTTGCTTCAACAGTGTTTGAACGGAACTTTGTTGTCTCGTGTTTTCAGCCGACCTGCTACTAAAGCACTCAGCTTTATTCTGTACCTTGTTTCTAAAGAGAGAGCCTAAAAACCACCAGCTAAAATGGAGTCTCAGCTGCGTCAGAACTACCACCGTGACTGTGAGGCCGCCATCAACAAGATGGTCAACCTGGAGCTGTTTGCCTCTTACACCTACACCTCCATGGTAAGAAACTACATCTATTCATCATTACGGCTTACTGGAGCTGTTTTTGCTCTTGTACTCTCTCACAAATCAGACTTTGGTTAGACCATTTTGACAACCTGTTCATGTGACTTAACACGTAGTAAATAACTCCTGGATAAGGACCACTTCCTGCTCTGGAACATTTCCAGATATCAGGAACAAACTCCTGCCATTGCATCAGACACTGATGTAATGTAATGTCCTTTATTACAATTCTGACATGTTTTGTCTCACACTATTGCTACTAACTTACATACATTTACATATTT